TAGCGGTTATCCGAATGTGATGTTTCGTCGATTGTCTGAATATATAGATAGTCTTCTACATCGCGTACTGTTTTCTGTGCAAGTCTTTGCTGATATTTTCGACTATATCGCTTTCTTTATCTTTGGCATAACTGAGCCAGTCAATATGTATTAAAGAGCTATATAGATAAAGTTAAATTTATAATATCAATAAATTTATAATATCAATATAATATCATTTCTGCATGCACATGTTCGTTCTTGCATAACATGTATAAAAATTTACAAAAGCATTCTTGAGATTGTCGCAAGCATAATGTAGTACTATAAAAAAACATTACTCACAAAAAAGTTGCGATAAGTTAAAAATAATGTTTCAATGCAATAAAAAATATTATCACAGAAAAAGCAAACATTTAAACACTGGACCCTGTTAACTTATAATTTCACCATACAACCAAAGAAAGGAATATTTTATTAGAAGCTATAAAAATGTTGTAACTTAATTAATTGAAATTCTGAACATTCAGCGAAGGCTTAAAAGCATAAAAGTATTATAAGTAATATGAAAAAATGAAACATTTACACATACTTTCCGGACAATGATATTAAGGAGACATTGTTATATTTTCTGTGTTATTGTGTAATATTAATACTAGCATAAAATAGTTTTCTATCTATACCTAGATCATATAATGTATTTTAGATATATATATAATATTTTAGATATATATAAAATATATATACATGCATATACATTGATGAGTATAAATGCTCTCTTTTTAGTTTATAATTGTAAAGGTTTCTCCAATTTTTGATCTCTTTTTTACAATCCTAAGCCTATAAAACGTTCAGAACTGCAACTATGTGTTTTTAAGCTCGGAAAAACATATAAATTAACTCATCATGCAGCATTAGTAGAAATTAATATAAAATGTTTTAGTATAAATTTAGTGTTCCTTCACTCAAAATTAATTTTTATTTATTATTATTTAATTTTAACAATATGTAAACATCATCATCACTCCTTTTATCTCCTTTATGTGGAGCATAGGACGTCTACGAGTCTTCTCCATCTTACTCTATTTTGGGCAATCGTTTTTATTTCTGCCCAGCATTTTCCAATAGATTTAATTTCATTATCTATTGTTCTCCTCCAAGACATGGCAGGTCTCCCTCTTTTGCGCTTTCCTTGCGGATTGTATTCCATAGCCATGCGAGCTATGTTATGCGGATCTTTTCTTAGAGTATGGCCGATCCATTTCCATTTTCTGCGGCGGATTTCAGTGCCTATTTTTTCTTGCTTGGAAGCGCGCAGTAGTTCTTCATTTGTTGGTAAGTTTGGCCAGAACAGTCTCAGAATTCGTCGCAGACATTTGTTCACGAAGACCTGAAGTTTGTTTATCAGTCCATCTGTGTTTTTCCAGGTCTCGCAACCGTATAGCAGCACAGATTTGATGCAAGCATTGAATAAACGAAGCTTATGTATGTTAGACATCTTTGAGCTTCTCCATATTTTATTAAGTCTGAAGAAGGCTTGTCGGGCCTTGTTTATTCTTTTGCTAACATCGATGTTGGTTCCTCCGTCTTTGGCAATTACGCAACCAAGGTATACAAAGTCGTTGACTTCTTCGATTGTGCGTCCTTCAATGGAAATAGGTGTGCTTATGTTTGTTCCAATACGCATTATTTTTGTTTTGTTGGTATTGATCTTTAGTCCAACTTCTGCAGCGTATCTTTGAAGTGCTGAAATTCTCCCCTGTGCATCTTTGTGTGTATGAGATAGTAACACGATGTCGTCCGCATAGTCGAGATCGTCAAGTCGGCGAGTCAGCAGCCACTGTATTCCGCCTGTTGTTTCTTGATTGCATTTTTCCATCACCGTATCCAGTACCATTAAGAATAGCATCGGTGATAGAATGCAGCCTTGGCGTACACCTCTTCTGATTTGGAAGGAGGGGCTCAGTTTTCCTTTGAAGAGAACACCGCATTCCGCGTTATCATATAATTCTTTTATTAATCTTGCTATTTGGGCTGGTATTCTAAATTTTTCTAGTGTTTTCCATATAGCCGGCCAAGTCACGGTGTCAAATGCTCTTTCAAAGTCCACGAAAGTCAGATACAGTGGTGAGTTGAATTCTGCTGCTTGCTCCACTATAATTCGAAGGCTGCTTATATGATCTATGCAGCTGTGTCCCGGGCGGAATCCTGCTTGTTCTTTTCTCAATTTTTCGTTGACGTGCGCTGTCATTCTCTCGCGGATGATTGACGCTAGAATCTTCGTAATTGTGTTGTGACCGGACAGCGTGTCCTGGTAGTTCCTCGTCGTCCTGTCCGACGGATAAATCAACGGTCGCCACGCCTTTTCACCGCCAAAGGCGAAGGTTCATCCTTCGATGTGCTCGTTCGTATCGAGAATCTCCCGCGATTGTAGACTAGCCTGGGTATCCTAATACTAACGTTACCAATGGGCGGGCCTGGGGTCAAAGAATGATTCACACACTGTAGTTTAGCTTTTCGCTTAATGCTTAACAGAACATGTTTATTACAACAACGGTTCACACGTAATATGTTCGTTCGTAACGAATCAATACAAAAAAAACTGTCAGTACAAAAGAATAAATCACAACAATCGCGATCGCGTCCGAATCCGTACCGTGTTACAATCTTTTTCTTGCACCGTAGTCACGGATTTTCCTTCGTAAGGCGAATCGCTCGTTACCTCGCTATTTCTCTCCTCTCGATTTACGCACTGTCACAATTACAACTCCGTATCTCTGTCTGCTCGGTAGTAGATTGTAAATTTTATTACAATCGTTCCCGCAATCGCGGTATTCACAGACTCGCGTATGTACGCTCACTCTCGATTTACATTTATCACTTTATTTCGCGCGGTACATTTCTATCGGTTCGCGGTATATCAATACCTTTGTGCTCGTTGTCACGTCTGAGCTCCCACTAATCTTTTCTCTCGCGATACGCGCTCTCTTCGCGTGGCTCGGTTCTCACGCGTGCGCCGTTCGCTCTTCTCCCCTCTACTCTTTCATCCTATACGCCATATTCCGCCTCTATGCTCCCGTGTACGGCTATTCTCACGCCCACACGTTACATACGCATCATGTGCATCTATACATTAATTCGCGCATCGCTATACGCATGTATATGTGTATATCTGTATATCCAAGATACATCTCTATCTAATCGAATGTATAAGTCAACGATACGCCTTCGTCGCTCGCTATCGTCTGGCTCTGGTTGGCTTTCGACGGGAGTCTGCAGCCTCGCGTCTACTCGCTGCACATCGCCTCTCGAACCCTTTCGTCCGCGAACACGCATATACATGTACATATATTATTCTACAGATTGGCCCGTGCGCCACTCTTCCGCTATGGAATGCACTCGCATCGTTTCGCTTTCATCTACATCGGTTCGACCATATTCGTTTCTCACGATATTGCATCCCGATCGCTTTGCCCGATCGGCTCCGCTAATTGACTCCGTATTCGCGTCTATTCTCCACTAAGCGGATCGACCATTCAAAAACTCGCAATTGTAACGCTCTACAGTCTGACGTTGGTTCTCGTCAGCTGTTTACACTGAAATTGTTTCGTTGCGTGCGTCGCGTAACCCGCCTACGTCACGCTCTCCGGATACTCTTCTCCATTAGCGACTCTAACGACCTGGTCAAGTTACTCCCATACTTGGCCCTATATAAATTTCGCTCCGATACGTCGGCTCTACTGCACGCGCTCTATCCGTTCAATGGATCATTCATTACCGATTCCGTCTCTAGCGCTAATCCAATATGGCGGACATCCTTGTCCACCGATAGATTTGTCAATCTATCCGTTAAATCTACGCCTATGCGCGTTCTCCGAAACTTTCACGGATCACCTCTCTTGAAAACCCGCGACAACCCTGAATTCAAGATAACGGACACCGCCGTCATCATCTGTACCGAACGCGTGATTCTCTCAACGTTCTCCGTCACACCTCAACGGAATAATTCACGGACTGGAATCCCCTCGTTCGGGACATTCGACCTATCAAATATGGCGAACCATACCGGTTTCGCTGCTTATAGTGCTCTTTTGGCTCCGTGGTCAATCTCGTCACGTTGCCCTTCTCAATTCCGCCTCTATCAATCTACCTAACGGAATTGAACATCACCGTATATATATTTATATATATATTCATATATATCTCACTATCCGTATCATTTCTCGGATCTTACCGCGCTGCTACCCGCGTTCACAATTGTACATAGCCTCGTATTGTATATATATATATATATATATCGTGTCTTGCGTATCGAAATCATTGTATTCTTAAATCTATCGCTCTCTTACTCTATGTAAATATAAATATATATAAATCTAGTGTCTACTCTACTTTCTTTTTTTTCTATTTTTTCCTTTTTTAACATTAATAATCGCATATGTATATATATCTCTTAAGAAACTAGCGAGTACCATTGGGCACCTTTATGCGGCTACGTAATTTAACTCATGAAAACACAATCACCGCTTAAGTCATCGTGACCGCTCTGAACAGCGATATCTCTTTTTTAACATGTTGCACGCGCGAAAATCAAAACTCTTGGGCATAATCCATAATCGATGAACACAAAAAAAAACTCTTATACAATGTATGTACATACAATGTATGTACCGTGTATAAATATCTCACTTACTCTTTGGCCGTTCACTCGGCTCTTACTGAAATAAAAACATCTTTGATATTTTAGCCACTTCGGCTTGGAAAACAAAACGATAAACTAAAAAAAAACAAACGGACAAACTATATCCGCGCGCGTCTCCGCCGTGCTCCAATGTACTCTCTGTCACCACGCACCAAGGAGTTGCGTGTCGCGAGATGCGGCCCGTGGCTGGCTCGCCAGCGACGGTGGCAGTGTTCAGTAGGGTTATTCCTCGCCAGTTCTTACATTCACGGAGATCACCTTTCTTTGGAATTGTGATGATTATTCCTTGTTTCCATTTCGCCGGGATGCTGCCTGTGTCTCATACTTCTGTTATAATGGAGGCAAGTGTTTTCGCCGCAAATGATGGATCAGTTTTAAGTAATTCCGGTGCGATGCCGTCACTACCTGCGGCTTTGTTGTTCTTAAGTTTCTTTATTGCTAATCTGATTTCAGCAACTGATGGTGACTTTGTGCTGATACGAGATGATGTTGTATAGTCTATGTCGCAGTTATCTATTGTTGGGTCGTCGTGTTTAAAGAATTCTACCCATCGATTAAGTTGTTGTTGTTCCGTAGTGAGAATATGGCCATCGCTGTTCTTAATTTATGGAATGCTTGTAAAATGGCCGGTGATCCTCCTGATACATTGGTATGTTTTGCGCACGTCCTTTTGTTCCGCCGCCACTTCAGCGTCATTGATGATGTTTTCTTCGAATTTACGACGATCTCTTCTTGCCATTTTCTTGATTTGTTTTTCTATGTTGTTATATCTTGCAAGGGTTACATCACTTCGGATCTGGTTTAGTTGTTGATTTAATGTTTTTCTTTGTTCGATTAAATCCCAGGTTTCATTCGTGATCCACATTTTACGGGTACTGTTTTTGATCCCGATGACTTCATTTGCGGATTCTACGTATGCTTTTTGCACTAATTCCCATTTTTCCTTCGCACTTATTGTAGGACTGATATTATTAACTTTGGCTGTTACAGTTTCACAGAAGTTCCGACGTTCGCCTTTATTCTTGAATTTTTCGATATTAAATTTCTTTTGTTTTGTTCTTGTTGTTATTATATTCATTGTTCTTATGCGTATTTTTGCCACGACTAGCTTATGGTCGCTATACATGTCCGCACTACGCATTGTTCGAACATCTAGAAGAGACTTCAGGTGTTTCTTGTCAATTAGCACGTGGTCGATCTGGTTACGTGTTACTCCGTCTGGTGCTTGCCAGGTATATTTATGAATGTCCTTGTGCGGGAATCGCGTGCTGCCGATGAAAAGTCGGTTGGCCATGCAAAGATCAATTAATCGCTCGTCGTTGTTATTGCGTGCTTTTCCAAGTCCATGGCGACCCATTATTTCATCGAGGTTGTTATTATTATTGCCGATTTTCCCGTTAAAGTCACCCATGACAAGTTTGATGTCTCTTTTGTGCGCTGAGGCGATTGTGGACTGCAGTTGGTTGTAGAAATGATCTTTTTCGCTGTCGTCTGCTATTTCCGTTGGTGCATAGCATTGAATGATTGTTATATTGCGATTTTTGGCTCGGAAACGAGCGGTTATTAATCGGTCGGAGACTGGATTCCACTCCATTAATGATTTTTTAATTTTAGTGGATATAACTATTCCAACTCCATTAATGTGGGTGGTTGAATTGCCCGAGTATATCATGTAGTGATTGTCTGACGTTGTAATGTCCCCGCTGTTCTTCCACCGCACTTCGCTGAGACCTAGGATCTTAATTTTACAGCGTGTCATTTCTTTGCTTAGTTGTGCCAAACGGGATGCCTGTGCCAATGTCCGGATGTTCCATGTGCCAATTCGTATACCTTTTTGATAGCTAAGGTTCATTTCCGTTGTAACCGTCCGATATCCGAGGCTCGTATTCGTTTCTCGTATCAGCTTGTTTCGGGTTTGCGGGTGATTGGCCCACAGAATCCTATCCAGCCGTCAGAGTTATACTGACTGTCGGTTGGCCGGAGCAATCGGTGATGGCCGTTTTTGTTATTATTTTTATTTAGGAATTCTAGCTGGATTTTAACTTGGGATCTTTGGCATGGGAGGCAAATACTTTGCCAGTGCGCTACGGCCACCACAATATGTAAACATAGCAACAAATAAAATTAAATGTAAATTTATGTACATTTTTGCTTACATTAAATTTCTTATTAAGATTCATACATAAATATAAGAATTAAATTTCTTCAGCTTGTGCTCTAAGTATTATATATTATAAAAATAATAGTATATTTCCAAAAATTCAGAAATACATTCGAGAAATTATAAAAAATATATACTCAATTGATGCGTTTTTGCATGAAGGAAAGAATCTGGCAGAAAAAATAAGTCGCTCTGCCTCGCAAACCAAGATATTAAGCGTGTTTAAAGTAGAGAATTTGTTATTAATAGGTAGTGAATTTGTTTTTAAAGTAATGAATTTCATGACTGTGATTGATTTCCTAACCTACATAGTTGTCAATTTCAACGCTTAATATCTCGGTTCACACTGGCGACTTTAAACCGGACAAGCGGAAATATAATGATGCAAACAAAATTGAACAAAATAATGCAATAAAAATGGAGATATCTCCTAAACACTGAGCGCCCGTGTCTACGACGCTTTCCACCTTCCACGCCACACGGATACGTGTTCAAACGAATCTTTTCAAAAATATAAATGGAATATGCTGCAACACCCGAGAGTCAAGATGAAACACATTCGCCCCGTTCGTGGTCTCTCAATTTTCTGGAGACTGTATAGACTATAAGTTAGATGAACGATAATCTACTCATGGCTTCTTCTTATTCTTCTTCTTCGACAATACACAATAGCGACATGTGTCGCTATTGCACTGAGTGCGCTGACAGTGCGCATGTAGAGATAATAGAACTAACCAATAAACGTTCAAGTTTTAAAAGCTCATTGGTCAGTTCTATTAAACCTCCGAAGTAAAAATAAAACCTTTTTGAATTGGCATAAAGATACGAGCCGAAGTAAAATGCATTCCATTTCACGCATATATATGATATGCATAATGCATCTTTCATTCTTGTTGTTCACCAAATGTTAAACAATGATAAATGATGCATTATGCACGTATATCATGCGTGAAACTAAATGTACCCAAAGGTATAATAAATAGAATTTTAAAAAACTGAATTGAAAGAAGTGGACAAACACTTGCAAGTACACGCAAAATGGACATATAACGGATATTCCTGGGACATACAACAGACATCTTCTAGACATTTAATGGATGTCCGTAGGACATCTTCAAAATGTCTTATTTAATGTAAAGTACGTCAAACCTAAAATTTTGAATGTACGTTCATGAGTTTATCAGAAATATATTAAACATACGTAATAATGAATTTTGCGATCCAATCCCGAATATGTCTTTCGGATGTCTTATAGACGTCCTACGCTTTAAAGTATGTAGAATTAAAACCTTCAGACATCCTCCGGACATCCTATGGATGTCCAAGATTCCTGGACATAATTAGGACGTTTGAAGACATATAGTAGACGTCCGAAGGACGTCCATGTGTTGTGTGGGTAATTGCGTGGGCAAGCACTCTCCCGTAAGAAAGATTTATCGCAGATATGTTAATACATATTAATACATATATTAATACACTCGCGGACGATATTTTCAACATTTGGTTAGCCTTTCTATGGGTTTATGTTGCTTAAAGTGTTTCGGGCATATTACTATTTCACATTGTTGCTGATAACGAATTATCATTGCCATCCTTTTCGCAATTTAATTTAAATCTTTATTATTATATTTGAAAGAATAATGCAGTCCATAGCATATTCTGAATTATTTCCAATTCTACGAGAATCCGGTCAAAATCTAAAAGATTATATGACTTTGTTGTGAAACATTTTAGCGAGAAAAGATTTTAATTTTAAAGAAAATGCAGAAGAAGTGATAAAGGAACCGATAAGACTGTTTTCTTCAAAAGTATACAAAAGATGGTGTAAATCAGCACGGAATTACGAGACAATTTCATGAAAACCAATGCTTCCTGGTTAGAAAATAGATTTTTTATTCCAAAGGAGGCATTACAGATTACATATATGAACTGTGATGAACCTTCGACTTCGAATGCGGAAAATTTGAAACCATTTTCACAAATTGGTTATCGACAAAAAAAAAGACGTACTGAAGTATTACGAGTAGACAATACCTCAGAAGAGTTAGCGTTTGCTACGAAATAAAGTATGCAAGCTGCGGGTAACAAAGATATAGCTGCAATTTTGTCTCATCTTATCTATAATCCTGAAGATGCATAAAAAATAAGAGCTTTTTGTGAGGGAAAGACAAAAGAAACGCGGACATTATACACAAAAGAAAATGCTCTAGCAATATTGATAAGTCTGCAATTGTCAAAATTAAAATATATTAGACTACGCGAGAAATTTCTATCAAACATGATGCGAATTCATATCCATCATATTATAAAGTGCAGCAAGCTAAAAGAGATTGTTATCCTCTTATACAAGCAATAAAAATAACAGATACATCTGCTGAGATTAACTTGCAAGCTCTTTTGGATTTAACAGTGCACAGAATGTCAAAAGTTTTTAATATTAAGAAACATAGTGAAACCGACAAATTCATTTTAATTTCGAAATGGGGTTTTGATGGTGCTAGTAGTTAAAGTATTTACAAGTAGAAAGTATTAAATGATATTACAAACATTGAGAAACCAATTGATGAATCGATCTTTACCTCAAGCCTAGTGTCTTTAAAATTAATGGATGATGCTTGTGTTGTATGGGAAAATCCGTATCCGTCTTCAACAAAATATTGTCGACCTATCAAGTTTGAATTTATTAAAGAAAGCGGAAAACTCATTAAAAAGGAGTATGCTAGAATTCAAAATGAAATAGATTATTTGAGCCCCACTGTACATGATAATATATCGATTAATCAATCAATTGCTATTCACAATGATTGATGGAAAAATTTGTTCCACACTTGCAGAATCGTCATCCACAATGAAATGTTATATATGCGGTGCAAGTCCTAAGGAAATGAATAAAATTGATATTATCGTCCAAAAACAGGTCGTATCAGAGCATTACAAGTTTGGTATGTCTAGTCTCCATGCATGGATTCGATCAATGGAATATTTATTACATATTTCTTATAATCTAGACATTAAAAAATGGTCTGTGCGAAATACACAAGAGAAAGTGCAAAACTAGAAAGAAAGAGAAGAATCCAACAAGAATTTAGAAATAAGCTCGGTTTGCTGGTGAATTTTGTAAAACAGAGTGTGGGAACGACCAACGATGGTAATACGGCAACAAGATTTTTTGCAGAGCCTTCAATTACCGCAAATATAACTAGATTAGATAAAAATATTATTAAAAACTTTTCTATTCTTCTCCAAGTCATTGCATCAGGTCAAGAAATCGATATTGAGAAATTTGATCAATTTGCAAAAAAACTCGCAAAATTTCTTATTGAAAATTATCCGTGGTATTATATGCCGGTTAGCGTTCATAAGATATTAATTCATGGTGCAGAAATAATAAAACACTGTCTACTTCCGATAGGACAATTATTGGAAGAAGTGATTGAAGTGAGACCTAAGGAATTTAGACAGTATCGTCAGAATAATACATGGAAAAATAATAGAACAGTAACTAATAATAATATCCTACATTCTCTACTAATTTCTTCGGATCCTTATATGGTATAACGAGTCTCAGACCGCAACTGTCGAAATCAATGAAAAAAGAAATGTTTCCAGAAATACTCAAATTATTGAAAATAAAAAATACAGATGTGGACGATGAAGATACAAATAAGACTAGTTCTGAGTATTCTGAATAAAAAGAATAGGTATACTCGTATATAATATATTTTACACACACATACACAAACACACACACCCACGCACGCACGCACGCACGTATGCACGCGCGTAATCATGAATGTAAAATATGTTACACATTGTTCATTAAAGTTTATTTTTTCGTTGTTACTAAAATTAATGTAATCAAAATCTTATATAATTTCTTTTTTTAAATGTGGTTTTCTTACGACTATTTAAATTGTTTTATTCTAGGGGTAGGTGAGGGTATCCCCTTTATCAAAACTTGCCCAAGGCTTGTTCCTTACCTACACGTGGTGCTAGCTGTTGAAACCGAACAGGAACATTTGTTAGAAAATTATTATTATAAAGATATTATAGAAAAAACATTTTAAAAAACAAATTTTATTGAAATACATTTTATTAAACCGATTTCTAAACAAAATTTTGTTTTTAAACAGAATTTCGGTCGATGTCCTCAGAATTGGTGGTTTCGATCCATTGTGCGCCGTCCCGATAACGTGCACCGCGCGTGCACGGGCTTTCCGTTCTCGAGCGTCGCGATCTCCAGGAGGCTCGCACAATGACTCTACTGACTCCCCGACAGTCAGTTATCGTTGAGCTCGGGAGTCTCTTACGCTTGACGCCGATTGCCTCACAAAATTATTCCCAAAACCAAAGTGCCCTAATAGCGGCTTCGCGAAACTACACCAACTGGCATTCGACGGCAGAACGCGAGAATCCCTCGCCTCGATGCATGCGACTTTACAATAGTAGCGTATCGCGGAGCAACCTTACCGATATCCTCGATCCACGTCCTCCGGGCGGTCTCTCGTCTGTCCCCGATCACTCTGTCGATCGGCACGATAGCCTAAATTCGCCGTCGACGGACCGGGACGTCCGCTAAACTTGCGGGTCGAAAACGGAAAGCACCGAAAATCGCGATCGATGCGCAATCAATAAGTCGTCCCCCTCCGAGGGGCGCGCAGCCGCACCGCGCTTTTCCGCGGCCAAGAAGG